AAGTAACACACAAAAGTGAAACCACATGCACACACACACACACACACAGACACACACATGCACGTCGGCTCACACAGATTTGAATGGGGGGGGGGGGGGGGGGGGGGGGAGTGAGGGGCTTTAATCAGGAAATTCACCTCCAGGGGTTTCATGTAAGCAGGACTGGACGCTGCTCTTCTCCCTGCTTCACACAATGAATCACCGAGACAGCCTGAGCATGAAAGCCTCAATCCACTGTCAATAAAGCTAATGCTATCGCAGGTTCTCCGTGTGCAGTGTAATCTATTATATGGCTTTACATGCGGCATGTGGAGAAAAATCATAAAACAGTGCTCTGGATGAAAAACACCGTCAGCAATTACACGTGAATCAACATAAATAACAACGCTCGCTGTAATGTATTTATGCTTTTATTGAATCTAGATGTAAAGACAAATATATATATAGAGAGGGAGACAGTGTGTTACTTAGGGGAGAGGATGATATACAAGAAGTCAGGAGCTGGTCTGACCTCAAATTAACATCAGTTTCCCCTCATTTCATACTGAACTTGGTGGTTTACCGACACAATAAGCCTGTTATAATGATCAAGTACAGAATATAACGCCACTGTGGGCCGTGCTGCTGTTCTTGTGTGGTAAAAAAAAAAATACGCCAACCGTCACTGCTAATGTTACAACTGCCCAGGTCTTGTAGTGATAGTCAAAGAAATTACAAATTAGAAGGGAAGTACAACCATTGTGCCATTAGAGGCGAAGTCAAGGCGACTCCACCTGTTTTCTAGCCACGGAACAGAAACGCTCCGTCCTTTATTTGACATAATAACAGGTTGAACAGTGAAATTCAAACATTAGCGACACTTGTGACAGGCTTAATTAAAAAAGGGAGAAAGGGGAAGACCAGGAGCCAATTTCCCTCAGTATAATACAGTATACAGAGCAACACAGTCGTGAAGGGAAACATCAGAACAAGCACCAGGATGGTTAAATGGACGGATTCTAGTCCAGGACAATCAGAACTCATATGAGATGCAGAATATGTTCAGGAGCAGTTGATCACTGTTGTAAAAGGGTCAGAAATGATCATGAGGAACAAGATAACTTGAATCTGCTGTTAGCCATGAGGACGGTTTGTATTTAGTCCCCCAAAAAAACTGTTAAATCTGCTGCTGAACATTAAAAAAACACAAATTTTCTCACATAATTATACTGATAAATTCATTTCTAGTGATTAATAGAAACATATTAATAAGAAAACATATAGATTATAACATTAAATGTAGTGTATACCTGTAGGAGTGAGTTATATACCATAGAATGACATGAAATATATTTGCAATCCATGAATAATTTTGTTATACTATTTATATTCAGGCAACTTTTCCCTGTGCTACGGTGGGTTGTAGAGAAGTGTATTTTCCCCTCAGTATTCTGGAGGATTTTATGTCTTTACTGGAGGATCTGTGGTAGAGAGATGACATGAGATGACACAGATTGTAAACAATATGTAAACAAAGGTCATCAGGAGGGTTAAAACCAGGGACGTGGCGGTTCACCACTAAGATATCCCCACGAGAGAGTCTGTATAATATTTACCGTGTTGACCTGATGTGACTCTGCTCCTTGTTTACCTCAGAGTGAATGAGACGTCACATTATTTTTTAAATCACCTCCGTCATCCTGTATTTAAAAACACTCACGGTCAGACGCCGCAGACGTGATGCAGAAAAAACGCATCGCTGCGGCTCTAAAGAGGAGCACCCTGGGTAAATTCTCTCTTAGCACACCGCTGCACCTGTGACACACAAATAATTTGCCTCTCACAGGTTTACATCGCAGAAAACAATAGCATCTGTGGCGCTGGGTGACAACTTATCTGCCCTAGCGGAAACAGGAACAACATGCTCTGTCTCAGCGGTAATCTTTGATCAGTTGAAACGCTTTCTGTGATAAACATTGACTCGATCCCCCACGGGCAATCACTCTATAGTGCTGGCGTCATGGGAGGTAATGTATGCACAGACATGTTGAATTCGCCTCGGGCCCTCGTACACACACATGCATGCAAAAACACACAAACACACACACACTTATACACATGCACACGGTGAGATGAATTGCTACGCCACCTAGAATAAATACATATCAGCTACAGTGAGCCGGGGCGCTTTGCTCTTTCCTATTAATCCTCAGCATGGTGATTTATTGCGGTGTGCTTGTCAACAGCCATATAGTCCCCTGGAAGTGTGGCCAGCCGAGAGGAATGGTGGGAGTTTAAGAGTAAAGCCCTGCAGCTGCCCCCCCCCACCCCTCCCCTGTAGTCTATTTATGTGCATTCTGGTCCACGCTGGGGGTGAAGTGAATGCATGGGTTGGTTGAACAACAACAACATTTTGCGCAAAGAGGAACGGGTCTGTAAAAATTATGTATTCGTCATAATCCAACTTTTAAATTGATGTCTTCCCCAGATGTCGCCGCTGTAGAGGTTTTGCATTTGCCAAGGTGAGAGGCCTGGACGCTCAGCAATCAGCTGCGTGCAGGAGAGGGAATACTAAAGGGCCCTTCTGTAAGTTATTTTTTTTTTTATTATACAGTGTATATGCATGGCGGCGCGTATTCAGCTCCCGGTGCTAACTCATCCATTTGATTAATGCTGCTTCCACTGAAAAACACAGAGGTGCAGTGCAGCAGTGCGGGACTCTTATTAAAGGGCTCCATCTAGTGGTTGTTTAATGTACTACAGTCTCTTATTCTTTGAGTTTGTTGATGTTCCATATTTTTTTTTTATCATTGTCAGCAGTTCAAAACAAACAGTGTATTCTTGTGACAAGGAGCTCCATTGTTATAGTGTTACTGATACTGGGTGACACGTTCCTACATTACAGTGAACAAGGATGCTGTAGTTTATTTAAATTGTTTTGTTGTTTTTGTTGCTTTATTTTGACAGGGACAGAGAGAGACAGACAGGAGAGTTAGGGAAGAGAGAGAGAGAGAGAGAGAGAGAGGGGACGACATGCAGCAAAGAGCCTGAGTCGGATTCGTACACTCTACCAGGTGAGCCACCGGGGCGTCCCATTACTGCAGTTTGTTCAGAGCAAATACTCACATATGCCGTTCTTCTGCTGTAAATACTGCAGCACCAAATGTGTATTAATCCGCAGGTGAAAATAGTCCCCAACAAATGCACCATTTATGTCTTGATAAGAACTACAGTGCACAGCTGTTATAGACATTTATTAAGCCTTGTTTTTTCTAATGAATAAAGTCTATTTGTGACACATTTTGAAGGATATACATCTTCAGCAGAAACATGATTAACACTGTTCATTTTGGTCGTAAGATCTGTTGTATCTGTTGTTTCTGTCTATGATCTCATATCTGTCTAAGTATGTTACTATTCTAAAAGAAAAAATGATGATTCACATTGGATTGTGTGCTCCACTGACCTTCATCCGTTCAAGAGCAGCTCCTAAAGTGACCCCGAGTTGAGGTCGCTTTGTCGATTTCCGTTTCCAAGGTCAGGAATTCACTCTGAACGTCACCTCTGAAGCAACATGGAAGTAAAGAAAAACCCTCGACGAGCTCAGAAGAAAGAGAAACATTTACAATTTGAAGACATGGAGGCAAACTGCTGCAGATCATGGCTGTGTCCGAAGGGAACGCCACGTTGACTTATTCAGTGTTCCATGTATAATCCATTAGACAAATCTATAGTGAAGATTAAGCTGAAGTTTTTGACATTTTCAGTACAAATCATCATCATTTCACACGTATTTTGAGGACACTATATTGTGCATACACTTTAAACTCAGCTCAATTCAGACCCTAATAAAATGGCAGACAGTCAATAAAGTGCACTTTATAGTAAACAGACAGTGAGGGTCCATGTAGTATATGATCAAAAGCTCTGGAACAGCTACTAAATGACCTTGCAGCGAGATTGTTTTGTCAACTGCTGTTTCCACCATCAAGAATAAACTTTAAACCTCAACTCAATCTTTCATTTTGACTTGTTTTATTGTGAATTTTGACACAGTTACGACACATGACGTAGAAAAACCCACAGGAACAGAGCAGCTTTTTCATACTGCGGACACCAAGGACACTCCGACTTGATAGCTACAAACATGAAATAAGGCCACTCCACTTTAAAGCGTATTGTACGTTTGAGAGAAGACAGCGGCTTCCTTCGGCTTTGAGGCTCCGCAAGTGGCAGACGACCTTCGGGGGACTCTAAACAGTGAAAACTAAAAAGGTCTACATATCTCACACGGCACAAAGGACTGAATTTCACAGATGTTACAGAAAATGACTGTAGCTAATGTCGGTATGAAGCTGTTGGAATTCATTTTAGAGGGACAGGGGTCCTTATGAAAGAGGAGTAAAGAGGAGGTTAACACACGGCTCATTCGTTTTCTTCAACGCTCTACATTGTTATGACATAGAATTACAGCGGCATGGGATCACAAACTTTTATATGCATCTTCTTTGGTGGCTGCTTCCACACTCGCCACACACACACACACACACACAAACACACACACATTTTTATATCATGATTCTCATTTAGCACAATTTCACTTCACTGATCTCTGAAATAAGTCTGAATACTTTAAATACATTTTTCTGTGAACGGCTGAAAACTTCACCCTTGAATGTTCGTCTCAGACTGGCCGGTGGTTTTATTACCAGGAGATTTAGTTGTAGTGATCTACAGCTAGATGGCACTGTGCGGCCGCACTTATAAAGAAAGCCACCCCCCCCACACCACCCTCTCTTCATCTCCACTCCAAAGCAAACACATCTGGCCGTCTCCTCTCCACCTCCCTATTTTATTTAGCTCCTCTTTGTCACCATCTCTCTTCTTCACCTCTACACCCTCCAACCCTCTTCATCTCTCCTATCTCTCCAACTCTCCTTCCCCCTATCCTCCTCCTCTCTCCTCCAGTCTCCTCACCTCTCCCTCTCTCTGCTCCCCCCCCCCCCCCCCCCCCCCCCACCCCTCTCATCAACATCTCTGCAGCTCCACTCTGTCCTCTACGGAGCGGCCACAGCCTGGGTTTCCCCTCCGGAGGTCAGCAGCTGCATCAGGCTTCCTGAGGCCGGCCGGCTCATCCCGGTGGCCCAGTTGAAAAAGAGTCTGCAGGGAACCAAAGACACGGCAGCAGTGTGAGTGGTTTTACTGAAGCATTCAAAGCCCAAATGCTTTTAGGCCTAAAACCTTTCAGCTTTTATGCTCCGGAGAGCAGCGGAAGTGAAGAAATTTCTAAATGTAAACTCAAAAAATACTGAACCTCTTCAGCCTGGCCTTTAATTAAATATGGTTTTAAGTCTTTAGTCACTTTATTTTATTGTAATTATGTTCTAAATTGTCTTTAATCTGTTATTTTATTATAATGTTAGTATAGCTTTTTAAATCTATTTTATTGTGTCTCATTGTCAGCGTTTCCTCGTCCTTTTCTTTTGTAGCTCATCAGTCTGTGAAGCACTGTGACCTCCAGTGATCTGTATGGAAAGTGCTGTACAAATATAGTTTGATTGATCGATTGACTGAATATGTGTCCATTGGTTTCTACACGTCTATACCGCTCTGTCGTTTACAATACCTTACATGCCTTCATCGATACATACCTAAACATACAGTACAGTGTCTGTTTCAGACTCTCACTGTGAAGTTCTGCATATCTATGAAACGTCAGTGCAGCATCTTCCCATAAAGATAAACTGGATTTACTTCCATCTGCCACTTGGCTTAGAAAATTTAGATTTGCATTTTCAAATTGATTTTTTTCCTCTTATTAGAAAAGTGTTTTAGGATTTATTTATGATTACATGTATAGTTAAAAAAAAAGAAGCTGTGTTTTGGTCAGTTTAACCAAAGCTAATTTAAACTCAGAATCACAGAGTAACCAACCATTACTACTGTTGCTATGGTTACCCTCAGCTGCAGGTTAATGAGGTGACTGAAACCAGACCTCCCAGCCAATCAGAAACAGGTATTTTCCGTTGCCATGGTATAAAATGAGGGTGAATAACTGTAATTTACTTGGAGTAGAACTAAAACCGTGTGTAAACCCAAAGTACTATTCAATACCATTATCAACAGCTGTCAAGTAACGGAGGTTTGCACTGAAGCTTGGTCAGATTCATAATCTTGTTTATTTATTCTCTAATTAGATATTTGCTCATTTCAAATCCCAATTTTAGGCCGTATTTTATTCATGTAACCAGCCATAATTAGCACTAGGATCTCATCAGAAAAGTGATTTAACTTTTTAGTAGAGAGAGGGCAACTTCAACTTTTTGGATGTTGAATAATGAATTTGAGAACTTGCGAGTTCCAAAGTAATTGATATGAGGACTAGAAAAAACTTTTCAACTGTTTTATGAATGAACGTTGTGCTATCGGAGGCCAGGTGAGAACGGGACAAGACCACCTCCCTTCATTTCCCACCGCCCAGACTGTTTCTATTTCTGTCCTCAGACGCTCATCTGTTTCCTCTGGGATTATCAAACTGGATCAAATCCCATCTAATCCCCCCCCCCCCCCAAACCACCCCACCCCCGGCCTACACTTGGGGTAAACACTGTAGAAATCAACACAAACTTCTGTCTAAATGGATCCAGCATGTATTCAGAGGACTTCTAATAATCTCACAAGCACTCAGTTAGCATAAGTGAATGAATTAAAATCTGAATTTTAAAATTGGATCAAGGATCTTTATCCAGATACTAAAGGACTCTTCATCTTTATCAAATCATCTTCCCGCTGACACTTATGAAGTTTTAAAATTTCAGAAAAGTTTTTTTGTTGTTCACATTCGATTTGGGAATAACAAACACAACCTCATTAAAACACACTAACACAGCTGTTAGTCACTGTAGTTCCTTAAAATGTCAAAGAACTACATTTGATTATTTTGCACTGAGTAGGATTAAATCTATGATGTAACATTTTATTGGAAAGTCTCATAAATCATACTCTAAATGTGATGTGTTTTAAGATTTGTGATGTCAGTCGAGCGACTGAGCAAGTTTCTCAGCTCTCAGCAGTCTTAATACGCCACAATGTGAATCAGACACATGGAGACATGTTTCATGGAGAACATGGAGTCGTACACCACCTGAACAACACCTGTGCTCGCGTGTGACGAGCATAGAGAACGAAAAACACAAAGACTATTAAAGTCCAAGTACGATTTGAGGATATATCAACTGATCCTAGATCTGAGTCTTCAGCATGTTGCATATGAAGCCCAAAAATGCCGGTACATATGGAATATTACTTGGATCTAATGTGTATATTTAATCATGTCATGCTACTTTGTTTGTTTTGTGATATTTAAATCAATAAATTAACTCCCACCCACTGATGATTTATTGCATTTTCAAGCCGGTTACTGTATATTACCTTTCACTGAAAACAAACCAAAAAATAAGCAAAAGAAAATCAGTGTTGGGGCCTTTTGGGAAATAAAGAAGTTCAGTATGTGGCTCCATGTGGCAGGTTGATGTGGTTATAACAACAAAAAAGAAAAAAAAGAAAGTAAATTAAAACACTGAACTTCATTGGCTGATAATGAAACTATATTGGAGGGTGAATTTTAGTATTTAAGCTCTGAATGCAAAGATTTATGAAAACAAAAAACAAAAAACAGTGAGTTTCTCAGGAACAAGAAGAGAAGAAGAAATCAACCAAATTGTGTCGCTTGATGAAAACGTGTTCACTACAGCCGTGAGACAAGACAGAAAAACCACATGAATCATCCTCAGCTTCAGCACTCACTCTGCGATGTACTCCAGCGGCGTCCAGGAACCGAAATCTGCGTCAGGCATGAACTTCCTGTTCATCGGCGTATCCAAGGTAACCCTGTCAAATTAAGTCAGATGACAATCAGGGGTGAGTATTATGAGGCAGGGAGGAAGGAGAGCCGGCGCTCTGCAGCATCTCCACACATACAGAGCTCAGTGCACTGGGTTCACGTGGATCAGAGATGAAGTCGTGTTTCTGTTTTGGCATCATGTTTATCATGCCGATATTAACATTTAACATTTCCGCTTTTCAACAGCAACAGGACTATGTGCAGAATGTACTGTAGTATTTTCCAGGGGATCCTAAGTGTGTATGAGCTTTGTGCTGCACATGCGTTCAGGTACAAGAACACACTGTTCTGTAGTTCGGCTAAACTGATTTTGCTGCTAATCACCGGGGTCAAAAGTTGGAGCTGCAGCAGACGGTGAGACACACGCAGCTCGTGGAGGCAGTTAAGGTACGATAAAACCCTTAGTGCTCGACAGAGGCAATTTGTGTCGAAAATAATCACACTCCTCCTCCGAGTCGTAACTCTGTCAATTCTGAACACACAGACACGACAGACGTGTTTTTAGCTTCAGTGTGACTTACGCTTTCCGAGCTTGTCATTAGCGCTGATTTCCAGTGTGAATAAATGTCCAGACACCCGTTTAGAAAATCACAGAAAAACTAGAATCAACTCCACGTGATCGTCTGCCATAATTGCTGTGTGTGTCGAGTTTTGTGAGGTCACACTGACCTTGACCTTTGACCCCCAAAATCGAATCGGTTTATCCTCGAGTCCCAGTGAACACTTGTTCCAAATTTGAAGGGATTCCTTCGAGGAGTTCAAGATATTGCATTCACAAGGCCAAAATCATGTTCTGTGAGGTCACCGTGACCTTGACCTTTGACCTCCAAAACTAATCAATCAGTTTATCATTGATTCCAAGTGAATGTTTGTGCCAAACTCTGAAGAAGTTCCAATTTTATTTTCTTCAGTATCAAAATAATCCAGTGACTGCTAACAGCCATTTTGGAATACTTTGCCTGAATGTAAACAAATCATCTACGATTACCTCCAAACTGAGGTAAGACAAAGAACAGGATCCGTCCATCGCTGTGGGAACATGCATGAAAACCTCTGTTCCACTATATGCAGGAGCAGACTATATACTGCTATACAGTGCTGGTATATGATGGTAGAGCAGCTGGAGGGGGTTGGGGGACGCGGGCTGTAACAGAAATGCAAGTCATGGGTCTAATGCTGAACAGATGTGACAGCATGCTGGAGAGGCAGCCCTGCCTCACTCTGTTAGGAAATGCAACCAAAGAGAGAGCAGGAGCAAGAAACACCCCTGAACATCCATTTCTAGCTTCTCACCATGACAGTGCAAAAAAAACAACAAAAAAACCAAAAAAACAAACAACACTGGCTTTAAATCCAATAAGTGAATAGACAAGGAGATGATGCAAAGCCTACTGCGCACGTCATTCATCTGAAACAGATCATGTGCACAACCACAGATACACTGGGTGAACCTGGCAGCCTTATCCATCTTTTATTCCCGCAGCTTATCTTCACCTCGCACGTATCCATCGAACACAACAAAGGAGCGTGTGGCACAGCTAATTTTACAGCACAATAGCTTTCATCTTCATTCCCTTTACTGGCTATGTGCGCAGTGTGCAAGATTTCTATGTTACAGTAAACACACACACACACACACACACACACCCACCGCTTCTTTCCACCTAACGCACAAAATGTGGCAGAGAAGAAAATCCTGTCCACATCGGGTGAGACTCTGAATATTTGTTGTGTTTTTCTAATGAAATCTTGAAGCTGGATCTGTTCTCCGCCAACAGATATAATACAGTTCAACAGGATAAAACAAGCAGTGAACGGGCGTCCATCCAGGGGGAAAAACACACATCACTCATCTCTTTATTACAGAATCAAGGACCTTCCAGGTTGACAAACATGAATGTAGTAGGTGTAGTTCAAAAGGCATCACGTCACAGTATATGAGGCCACAGAAGTTCAAGGTTTTATAATTGTCTCTTTCTTAGTTTCTTTCTCTTTGTGTAACAGGAGGACACTGTAGATTTTACACACGGTGAGTTTGTTCATCACTCAGCCTGTGAGCACAGTTGTTGTAATGTCGTGTGTTGCTGTGCTTATAATAATCCATTTAAATGATAGTGATGTCATCAGGGGTATTTCAGTTTGGGCTTGACTTTGCATTTCCTAAAAGAAAACCTTCACTCATCTGCACATACAGACTGAACATATGGCTCCTCTGTACAACAATCACTATATTAATGTGGATATTTTTCCAATATTTGGTGCAAAATCACAATTAAAAATTAGCAAAATATAACAATCAAAATGTTGCTCAGGTAAGTGCAGTCTGTATGTGACAGTATGAAAGCTTAAAATGTTTATCTATAAAACCAAAACACTTCCGAGTGTTTCCTGTAACCACATCACCACTTCTGCTGAACGGCTGATCGTCTCAACTTACCTGCAGCCGACACTTAATAAAAGCACAGAGCAGCCTGAGACTGCACAGATAATTACATCCAGACAACCTGCCCGCACCTTCTCCTCTCAGTCCACATGTGTTGCACATCGGCCATCGCCGCTGCGCTAAAAACTGAGACAGCTGGTACAGACGAGACTCTGGCGAATGTTGCACAGCGTTTCCTGAAGCCACCTGCATCCGTCTTTAGCTCAGTATCATCGATATTGTTTGTTTGTGGTTCTTCCAAAAAAACTGTTACCTTCAGGGAAAATCGGTGCAGGTGGGAGGGCTGTGGAGAACTGGGCCTCACACACTGAAGGCCATAAAACAAGGACAAAACTAGACTTAGCTGAGACACAACAACAACGGATTTTATATTAAAATATAAAGTCCAAACCTGTGGTTCTACGTGATTTCGCACGAGTCTGGGTGTCATCTCAAAATTTAAGCCCTTTCATAATTAAGGCCTTAAATTTTAAGAATCATTATGCAGTGCAACACTAAATTGTTGGATTAATCTTTTTAAATTTTCTCCTACACTTCTCTTTCACTTTTCTGTGTTATAATATAAGTGTTTCTACATTTTAGTGTCAGATTAACGACCAAATTCTGAATTTAAACCTCCAGGGCAAAAAACCATTTTCCTTGCCTGGTGTATGTTTTCAGTCAAATACTCACATGCAGGGTTTGATTTAGAGGTTTTCATGGATGTTTTGATATTTTTAGCTGTGACTTTTGTCGCCATTGAAATCCAGTGTAACTGCCACAGATGCCCACCTCCAGATAAGAGCAACTTTCAAGCCGACAGGAGGTTCGACTTTGATGCTCAAAATATAGATTTTCAGTTGGCTATTCCTTTAAAGCCCCTACCCGTGTCCCATCCGCCACACGCCCGTGCTTTACATGTGCCACTGGAGCGCTGCCCTCCATTCGCTGACTCCACAGCTAAATGTGCGCCATGACAAAGTGTCTACGCAACATTTCGCTGCAGTACTCACGGTAATATGGCCACAGCGGCGGCTCCTGATGGCATCCCACTGTTTTCTGCTCCTAGACTCCGACACAGCTGGTGGACGGCAGCTTTGGCCATGCCATACCCGACCATGCCTGGAGATTACAGAGAAAACATTTCTTTTAGCGTCCTGGAGAAAATTCAGTTTGCAAAGCTGGCACGCACACACGCACACACACACACACACACACACATCAAATGCATCACACACTGTGCCCGGGAGTGGATGACATTGATTTAGTAGAGAGAGGTCAAGTGGACAGACATTACTGAATCTATGGAAGGAACATTTTGAGACTTTAAAAACAGGAATAGTAGAAAACAGAAAATGAAACCGAGGTCTTCATATTGTGGCATAAACAACAAATCATGCACAATTAACGTACAAGACTCTCCTAACTTCCTAACTTTCACCCTGAATTTGTGCACCAGCCTTTCATAACGTGGAGGAATGTTTTGTAGCTTCAGCATCTGGAAACAGTGAGTTTTTTCCCTCCCAAACATCTAAATGAGCTTTCCAAAGAATGCCAAGCATCTGTTCACCCCCCACCCCCTAAACCAATCTTATGACAGGCTTACACAGAACTGACCAATGAGAACGAGGGGTGGTGACATGACTTTTTCATGACTTTCAGGCTTTTGTTTTTCCTCCAAGAGCAAAAATCAATTCAAAAGGAAGCACGAGTTCAGGGGAACCAGTCGTACAACAGCCTGCAGACGCTGAAATCAACAGTGATAGGTTAACGAGCAGGGTGTCGCATCCTGTGCCTGATGGGTCACATGTTCACAGCTAATGTGCATCCACCAACAATACAGATCCTCATTATCCTATTTGTTCTTGAAATCCAGTCTTTGAGGACTATTTCTGCCGACAGTCATAACTACATTTGCAAAAGACTATTTTACTTTTCCATGTGGACACAAAGAAATGTGTTTCTGTGCTTCAGAGTTAGTTCATCCAGTTTAGAGAGAGGAAAATATTGATTATGCTAAACCTAACCTTTTGTCATCCTTAAGGTTTAATGTGTAATTTTTGTCAAATGTAATTTAAAATCTTCTCAATCATTCTTAAACAGCATTTGAAGTGTTGTGACAGGTGTGTTCACTTTATTTATATTCTCTAACTGAGTCACATATTCACTAGCTAGCATTAGCTGTGTCATTTGGTTCAGTTAGCTATGGAACAGTTAAACCTGGAAGTCAGTAGATGAAAATATTTAGTAACAACTAATCTCAGCCTCAGAAACCATTTTACTTCCATACATCTGAACTTATGACTAGACTAAGTTTGAACGAGCGACGGGAAAGGCAGGAGAGAGAGAGAGAGAGAGAGAGAGAGAGAGGGAGAGAGAGAGAGAGAGAGAGAGAGAGAGAGAGAGGAGAGAGAGAGAGAGAGAGAGAGAGAGAGAGAGAGGGAGGAATAGCGCAATAGATTGAGTTTTGGAACAGCTGCTGCAACAAGCTCCTGGGGAAACAGTAGATGAGAGGAACTACAATCTGAGCGCCTAAACAAAAAGGACCTGAAGCAGATATTTTGTTACAAATGATAATGTAGAGTCCAGCTTTGTTCTGCTGCGATTAGACGCCGGCACGAGCGACTTTTCACAGACTAAACCCCATCCACTGTGTTCAAACTACAGCTGGACTGGGCTTCTGGGTGGCACTTTACCGTCAACAACAGAGTCAAAAAGAGGCAATACCACTGGGTTGTTGTACATCCAAATGTTGCTCGCTGTCCTCTGCATATCTTGGAGGATAATCACAGATTATGGAAAAACAACACAAGTCACATGAAGGGGCGAGAGAGACGCCTCCTCTATTTGCTCTTTTTAAAGTTCAAAGTTCTCCGTTGTAACTCTGAACTCTGAGGTCAGGATTATCACAAACTCATTCACGTGGTTTGACAACCTCCTGTTGATCTTTCAAGATGGTGTGGAAATGTACTCTCCTGGTGGACACCACGTTGTGTTCACTTGATATGATACTTTGAAGAAACTGAACAAATTTTCACTCGTAAAACTTTGATTAACAACCTTCAAAGTCCGTGCTATGAGTTATCCTAACCTGTTTTTCTGTTTCCGCCCCACAGATGATCTGGATTTGTCCAACGCTGTTTAACGTTTTTTTTTTTTTTACTCATTTTGTTTGATAAAAGCACAAAGAAGAGAGGTTCCTCCTCAGTGCTGTTTGTTATATTTCTCATCATGTGTCTGTTGATGTTGACTCACATTTAATGAGACTTCACAGTAACGTTCTCCGTTCTCTCGTGTTTGAAATACAAACTCTGCAGAACACGACCCGAGCCCCCAGAGGAACAATACATACAAGGTGCTTCGGTCCGTTTCAGTGGAGTTAACGCCCCGTCCATGTGGATAATGTGTGTGCAGCCACAACTGCTGAGTCATTCTCTTGCTAAGTCTGTCGCCAATGAGCTTGTGGGCTCAGTGCTGACTGCTGAGCCAGGGTTTTGTATTGCTGTAGAGTCAGACCTCAGCCCATCACATGGTTGGCTTAGATACAGGGATGGCTCGACATCACATGGCACCACCCCAAAGCCCCTCTGGCTGGTGTCACATGGTAATAACGCTGCAACCAATGATTATTGTCATTATCAATTAATCTAGTTTTTTTTTTTTTTTTTTGATTATCTGGTTATTCATTTAGTGGATAATGTTTAAAAAGGAATACCTGTCATGATTTCCCAGAGCTGGAGGTCACATCTTTAAATGTCCTGTCATTACCAACCAAAAGAGAATGTTTATTATTATTATTATTATTATTATTATTATTATTGTTACCAAAATTTGTACTAATGGTCTGTCAATCGATTATTCGACTAATGATTTCAGCTCTAGTCAACAAGAGAATCAAATCCACCTGTACTCATTTATAAATATGAAGATTAGGTTGTAATTCATGTGATTCTTGAGTTAAACAAAACATTTCTATTATAAACTACCTTCTTTTAACTGTGTCCTTAAGTGTTTTCTATATTTTGACAAGAATGTAATGAACTTAATATAACACAAATAAAACCAAACCAAGTCATGACTAAAGATTAATCAAGTCGTATTAATATACAGGTTTACTGATTTAACAAAAGTAATTAGATAAACATTTTATCGCAATTTGAAATTTAATTTTTTATTACAACAAATTTGTTTACATAGCAACCTCATTTAGTAATGTCATAGAAGATATTGTAATATATTAGTTTTAATACATTTATTTATTTATTTATTCTATCAATTACTTAATGACTAGTCACATTTATTCATTTGGCAACTTTTGCTTTTTGCCTTTTTCAGTCTTTAGCTGCTTTAATGAACCACAGTCTCTTACATTTTAATCATTTACTTGCCTTGTTTCGGTTAAAAAGGGTGAGCAGGTCAGGCTTGAGTCAGGTGGTCAAGGACACATGGAGAACATGACAACTGACAGACAAACAGGCCATTGTGGGAATTAAACTATAGATTTTTTATTTTTGAAACAGACTCTCTAACCACCGAGTCCCTTAGCTGCCCATGATCTCATTCTGTTTTCTTTCCCCACTTGTTTTATTTCTGGGATCCATTTTATTGACACAGTCTCCCCTCATTGTTGTGATCTGTGTGAGCTTCCCCATGCCTCGTATCAGGATGTCAATTCCCTGGTCAAAGCCCCGCAGCGCCTCTTATTACCTACATTATTTGAATTGGCAGGTTGGACAACAGAGACGTATGCACAATGTAGACTCCAATAAGTCAAAGTCTGCCTGAAACCCTGACGTGATACACGGCCAAACCAGGTCATCGTGATGAGAACGGTAAACACAAATGTGTGCCTTACCTCCGGTCCCCGAGAGAGCCGCTTTAGCTCCGGCCAAAGTCAACAGTCCGCCTGGTTTTAGGTGCAGAGCGGCGAGGTGGCTGGAGATAGTGGAGGTCCACACGCTCTGCTTCCACATCAGATCTGCGTTTTTGTACAAATCTGAGCGAGACATGGAAAATAACTATAAGCAAAGTCTCATTTTTAATTCTGTGCTTGTTCCATGGATGAGCAACATTATTATGTGCTGGTGTTTAAAGGAATAGTTCCACATTTTGGGAAAGATAGATGAGAAGAGCAACATCACTCTCATATCTGTCTGTTAAATACGAGTCTCCACTGCTTATCTAGAAACAATCGTGGACTTAATCCCCTGAAAGACAGTGCCATTTTTACACTTTAATTTTTAGCGCATTTAACAAACATGATGTAACATTTTAATAAGTTAACTTTAAAGGTGTTGGTAGATGAATTTTGTTACTTCTGGCTAGCCGTTTCCCCGTTTCCATTCTTTATGCTAAGCTAAGATAGCTGGCTGCTCAGGGTATCGAATCTTTTCATCTAAATCTCTGCCAGAAAGCTAATAAGAATATGAATATAAGAATATATATATATATATTAGAATTTATAAGAATATAAGAATATTTGCCAAAATGTTGAACTGGCCAGTACAGAATAATCTATTTAACAAACATGCATGATTAACAGAAAATTAAGCATGAATTGCAGCAGGGAAATAAGTGGCTGATGATTAATGTTACAACAAACAAAAAGGTTGAACTCTGACCTTTGGAACTACATTTTCCTCCTGCCCATCCTCCTGCCACACACAGGATGGCGTCCACTTTTTGGTCCCCTAGCAACTGGGCCACGTCTGCCGTCACCTGCACAAAAATAAGAGCGAGATATCTGCTAACATCTTTTCATAAAGCCTCAGGGCTTTGCAAACAAGATGAATGGTATTAAAATGTCAGATGGCACACCAGATGGAATTTTTTTAATGCATGTTCTGTGCTGCGTTCAGGTCAACAAACAAAAGGGAGGATATTTGGACGTAGCCTCCATGTGATAAATACAGTGTTTCTTTAACAACCAAAAAAAAAAGTGTGAAGTATGATAGGATGAAGAGAAATTACGGATGCTAAAGAATTTCAACAGTCATAAAAATAGGCAAAATCATGACATAGTATTAGTTCATTCAAGACATAAAAAAGAAAATCTATTATCCCATATTAAATAAGAATGTAATAATTACATATTTATTTGTCTTGGAGTGATCTGTCCAACAGAAACAGGAACAGACATGTGACGCTGGAGTGAAATAGCAGAATAGGAAACAGATGGGTGGTAGAGGATCGTCACAAGGTTGTAAATCTGCTAATCATTCTCATTAAAATGATCATTTTATAGTCTCAAACTGTGGATATGTGACAACTTCAAAACAATTATTGCATTCGTGCTATGATCTATGATCAGTTTCTTAATCAATTAGTTGATCAACAGAAAAATAATCGTCATTTTTCAAGCAAAAGAAATTAAAATTATTTTAACATTCTCATTTTTGGGTTCAGTACATTTAACATTTCACAAACCAAATCAAAAAATAAAATCTATAATGTAAAATAATCGTTAGTTACAGCCATACACTTTATCAGATCTGCTTCATGCATTTGATGCAAATAATGCTGCACAAAAATTAAAATAAAATGCTATATAATGCAAATGCTCTGTGTAATATATTTCAATATTTTCAATACTGATTTTGTTGTAATATGAACGCTATTACTTATTTCTCTGTTTGCACATTATGTAAATATCTCTAGAAAAGCAAGTACTTCTAATGTAACTACCTTCTTATTTATGGTTGGATTTCTCCTTCATTCTATTTTTCTACTTGTGTTTTTCTTCTACCTCGTTTTCTTATGCTGCAGTAACAAGTGAACTTCCCCGGTGTGGGATCAATAAAGGTTTATCTTATCTCATCTTATGAGTGCAACCGACGTTTCCCCTACTTTTCAAAAGCGACTTGAACGCAGCATTAGCCTGCACAATTTCTAGCAAAACAAGACTGAACAAACAAAAAATTAAAAAAAAAAGAAAAAGCAATTAACATGTCATATTTATAGTTAACTGGATTGAAACCAAAAGTTGGACTGGTCGAATCAGCTTCACTGCAGCCTGTTAGCTCTTCGGTTTCACGTTAACACAGACAGGGAAACATACATTTGATTCATGTTGTTATGTGTCTCGTGCCGCTCACCTGTCCAGCCTGCTCAGTGAAAGACTCGCTCATCTTCACTATCACGTTTTCGTTCGCCTCCTCGTTAACAGCCATGTCGATGCAAGCGACCCACTGTTAATGTCACAAAGAGAGAAACGGGAGGTACAGTTTAGCTTATCGGTTAGCATTGCTCAGTGTTAGCATCTGCTCCGTGACGTTAGCCGCTAACTGTCATCGCTCACCCAGCCGTTGGATTTGAAATGTTGGACACACTTGGAGCCCAGAGCGCCTCTTCCGCCATACACGATCACCCTGTTAGCGGCCATGATTGTGCTCTTATTAACAGTAAGCTGAGAGTGGGTGAGCTGTGACTGAGCTTGACATAAATACAGAGGGAGAGGAGGAGGAGGAGGCGTTTCTCTGATGGTGCAACAGGTTGGAGCGGAACTAATGGCGCGTTCAAAGACTGTAGGAAACAAAAAACTATAACCTGAACCAGGCAGTCGAGCAGTGAACCTCTTTTTCTGTAGTATGAAAAAAACATTTAATAATACGACACTATCATTTACTTGATAAAAAAAAAAATATATATATATATATATCCTGAAATAAGAGGAGGTGATATGTGTAACTTTATGTTGTGATACTGATGAGCATTACTGTGCAACTAGAAAATTCCTTTCACGAATAATGAGAAACTTAGGCCAATCGTCACAAAGTCATTTGTCCTAACTTGCTTTATGTAACTGCTATCAGCATGCATGGGGGTGAAGCGCTGATGTAGACCGTAGAACAGACCGTCTCATTTCAGTTCGGCCTTCACGGTCCATGACAGCTACGAAGAGCCACGCCTTCATGGACAGCATCATTTGAATACATTAAATATCTGTTTTTTAAAAACCTTTTCAATTACAATTCCACCAAAAGAAGCATTTTCTGCTATTTCTTCTTTTAAAACTGTTGTTGTCATTACGTTTTTCACATTGGAGGAATTAAAAATAGATAGCACTCCAGGTAGGGACAATACTGGTATTAGAGAAGTGAAAGCCCTAATCAATAATATGCTGTAATAAACCTCATCGCCCTGACTTCAGTATTATGGATACTGGAAACCAAAGGGATTAATTTGTACCATATCTCAACTTGATATCAAGACAGTGATATACATAATAAACATAATTGTTATTATGTTATATATATGTTATTAATCACTCTATATGTTGCTGGGATTAGTGGAAGCATGACAGTTAACATTAAAGGGCCATTGCACTGAAGAAGGCATGATCAACACCTGAATGTAGAAGTCATTAAACTCACCACCAGATGTGTTCTCATTATCTGTGTTTGTTACCCATTTTTATAGAAATAAGTTATTTACCTGCAGCATGTCATTTAAAACTTTGACAAATTGAAGTTACAGAGAAATAAAAAGCAATATTTCAGCTTCTTTTGTACATTATTTATTTTCATCATCATCATCATCATCATCATCATCATCATCATCATCATCATCATCTCTCTGTGGTGCAGAAGCACAGGTTAACCAGGACCCTCAGAGACAGAGTGTGTTCTTGGAGGTGTTGACTGGATGTTGTGAGCCAGATGTTTCTGAGCGCACCACCTCATCAGCAGCTGGATCTCTGCCTGTCACCACAGTGTCGTCTGCACACTGGATAATCACCTGTGTTAACGAGCTCCTGAGACAGTGTTAGCTCACATACAGTAAACTCACAACATTTTTGCACACCGGAGAGATTCTGAGTTTTGTCAAATCAATTCATTAAAAAGTTGAGAATCGTAAGTCATGGTAGTTTGTATTAATTGGGACTTACTTTCTAAATCTGCCAACCTCGTTAGCAACAAGAATATGTGTTTTGAATTATGTAACTAAAAATCTTTGGTTTAAAATAAATTAGTTAGAGTTAGGTAGAACTGTGGCTCTCGTAAAGCTTGAACCAAATGAGCCAGGATATTTCAAACTGGGCCGAAGGTGTTACAGGTACAGGAACAAAGAATTTTTTTCTTTTACTGAGGGTTTTGCTCATAAAGTGATTAAAAAAATATTAACACTAGTCAGGAGACGCTTCAGTGTGCTAACAAGAGCAGGGATCATCCGATGGACAAGGTCCAGTGTTGGAAGCTCTTTCCACTGATGTTCAGGAGAAGAGGAGACACAGATTTATGTTTCTTTGTTTTTGTTTTAATTCAGAATAAACTTCTTTGGTCTGTGCAGATCGGATGAACTGCAGCTTCTGTGGTTTGAGATGCAGAGTCTTTGGTCTGGCAGCTGCTGATGGAGTTTGAAGGCGGTTAAATTTCTATGCTGAGCAGAGACATGAGACTTGGAGGGAGACGCAAAGCAACAATAATAATGTGATCCAGTTAACCAAGAGAAAATAGGTGTAGTGGAAACACCGGGACAACTTCTCAGGTGTGTCCTGCTGGATCTAAACTCAGGCAGAGTTTTATCAGTGTGTCAGCAGGATGAAGGGACAGCAGCAGCAGCAGAGCCGGAGGACTCGGGAGCGGGAGTTAACAGAGGCAAGATGTCAGGCCTGTTCCAGGAAGTACCTCCTTGGTTTAAACCACAGGGGAGGTTTGCTGTGCTAGCATCAGGTTAGAAGCACTGCAGAGTCTGTGGTTGTCACAGTAAATGGCTGAGTGTGGACGGAGTTTGGGAGGGCAAACAACAAGCTCAGGTAAACTGTCGGAGGAAAAACACCGTGGGTGATATTAACAGCTGACCGACAGGTATCAACAGAGCGGAGAGGCTGCAGCTGAGGTGAACAGGCGTCAGGAGCATCTTGATAAAATGGCAGTGGACTGAGGAGCAATATAAAATTCTCTGAGCAGGAGGGACACCCAGAAAAACATTTCACATTGGAGGCTTTAATGTGCCGACAGGAGGGAGACACCGAGCACAGAGGTTTCATTGGTCAAACTAGGTCTGCAGGTGCAGGGGAGACAGCGGAGACATTTTCTTGAACACTAAAGATTGTGGAGGACAGGAGGTCGTAGCGAGCCATTTCAACACTTTTCATTGTGGAGGTGGCCAGAAGACACTACTTCAACTGGTGGTGGACACCAGCGTTGGAGGAAGCCTTGAGGTGGATGAGGTGGTTTGAGAAGAGTTCGATGAGGCAGCAAGGAGCTTCTAGATTCATTTGAGGATGAGGACGAGGAGGCAGCGCTTTGTTCTGACTATTCACAGACACGTGTGTCAGTAAAACCTGGAGCGACTGACTTGTCGGGTGGAGGAAGGAAAGTTTTAAGACGGATAAACTCTCCGTGGAGAACGGCGCAGGAAAGGCTTTTCAAGCAGCAAATATGATAATCAAACATTTTCCGATGCATATGTACTCTTGTGACGAGGTACTGTCCTTCATCGTTTGTACGTAGCAACCACCTGCCGACAGCAACCACCTGAAACACCCTAGCAACTGAAAGGTGACTTCTGCATCGCCCACATGCATTTAAAGTTCAGATGAATTCACGACCACCACCACAAATCCTCTTAGGGAGGAAGCTGGGGTGTGATGGTGTTCAGGTGTGCAATACACCTGACTCTGATACCACAGGGATTGTGTTCTCTTCTTCCTGACCTTTCACCGACCTTAACCGTTAACCATTCCTTTCTGAATATTATTACTAATAATCTATTTTGATGTGTATAATTACTTGTTGGTCAAATGCTACTAGTAAAGATGCAGTAAAGTTTTTTCCAGGCCAGCAGACCCTGAGGAAGGTGTACCAGAGGGCAGTGATGGGGTGTCTCTCCTAGTCCCAGGTATCAATAAGCTGCCACCACTCAAGGTCATCATCATCTTCATCGTCGTTCAGCTCTGTAGAATTTCACCTGAGTCTGCTGTGAAATCAAGTCTTGCAATTATGGTGCAAGAACATGCGGCATGTCGTTGTGCACTGTGCCTGCTCACAATGCCAACGAGGACAGGTAGTCGGGGCTGTGCCTGCCTTAGGTTGTCCCCAGGTTTTGCAGGGGGGGGGGGGCTTACCCGTCATAGGCGAACCAGTCTTCCATACTCGAGCCTTTTGGTTTTGTTTTACGTATCAACAGCAGACTTTAGTAGGATCTGAACTTGCCTGACCTGAGTGGTGCAGGATCAACACTCATGAGACTCAGGATTCTCCCCAGTTGCCTCACTCACCTTCCTCAGGTGAAATATATATTAAAAGGTAAGTATCTGCCCGGAGAAGACTGAGTGACCAACAAGCTAACTAGTCAGGTGGCCTGAGACACCAGCGGCTGACTTCTTAAAAAGGACAAATCGCTGTTCAGTCACATGAGATCATGCAACAAGGTGAAAGGTGCGATGACCTTTGATCTCAAAGATTGTGCACACGCCATGCTGAGTGGCTCAGCCTGTGTCTGTCTTTTGCCACGAGGCATGGGACACCGGCCAGACTCCACTTTGAGGGGTTAGATTAGTTCAGGTTGATTAGTTGAGGTTAGCCTAGGCTAGGTTAAATTGGCTAAAGCTAGGCTAGGAGAAGAAATAAGGGGAGGAGGAGGAAGGAGACCTCTCTCGATTTTCTCCTTCCTCCTCCTCCCCTCGTTCCTCCAGCTGACCCCCCACCCCCACCCCCTTCCTCCCTTTGCAGCTGATTCACCGTCACGCCTCACAGGTAACCCTCCAGTCCCTCATGGTACCACAGAGGATCACTCCAACCTCACATGCCTCCACGAGCTTCCACAGAAACCTGTCAGCAGAGGATCCCGCTCTGCCGACTGGAGAATATGTGACACAGCCGATCGCACTGTCCGGACTGAGCTCTCCAACACTGGGAGAACTGCTGAGGAGCTCCTGCATTGTCAGTCCACATGCTGCGTGATGCCAACCCTTCCCCTTTAGTACAGCTTGTTTATCTTCGCCTCCCTTTCCTCAGGCACGTGGACACGATTTTGTGACCTGAGCGCTTTTTTTGCCCGCGAGTAAACAGACTCGGTCTTTCCTTTTCTGTTTACCTCTCTGTGGGTCTTCGTCTTTCTCGCCCTCCTCTTTTGCTCCCTCTCCTCTACCATTGCCTCATCCCGGTCTAACGCCCTCATGATCCTGAGCAGGCGAATCCTTATGGACTGCTGCTGAATCGTCCTGTGCACCAGCTGCTGCACTGAGTGACCTGATACTAACATAAGAGAAGTTAAGAGTCCTGGGTTTTAATGAAGGTGGTGAAGCTCAAAACATTTTCACATTTTATGTTACTACATAAAGCACATCAGTAAATACCCCAGTCCTCATTTCTTTAAGCTTTTCTTTAAAAAGGCTGGTTGTAAGAAGTGTCTAAATGAGACTACAGAGTCGAACATGAAAACCGATCACACTCTCCATTCCACCTTTACTGACTCGCTGTGTTTGTACAAACTGTTACTGACTTTGTAAGAGGAAAGGCT